AGGGAGCAGGTACAGAGAGCGGGATCAGAAGAACAGGGACCAAGTACACAGGGAGCAGGTACAGAGAGCGGGATCAGAAGAACAGGGACCAAGTACACAGGGAGCAGGTACAGAGAGCTGGATCAGAAGAACAGGGAGCGGTTACCGACAGCAGGATCAGAAGAACAGGGGCCAAGTACACAGGAAGCAGGTAGAGACAACAGGATCAGAAGAACAGGGACCAAATATGCAGGGGGCATGTGCAGACAGCAGGATCAGAAGAACAGGGACCAAGTACACAGGGAGCAGGATCAGAAGAACAGGGACCAAGTACAAAGGGAGCAGGATCAGAAGAACAGGGATCAAGTACACAGGGAGCAGGTACAGAGAACAGGATCAGAAGAACAGGGACCAAGTACACAGGGAGCAGGTACAGAGAGCAGGATCAGAAGAACAGGGACCAAGTACACAGGGAGCAGGTACAGAGAGCAGGATCAGAAGAACAGGGACCAAGTACACAGGGAGCAGGTACAGAGAGCAGGATCAGAAGAACAGGGACCAAGTACACAGGGAGCAGGTACAGAGAGCAGGATCAGAAGAACAGGGACCAAGTACACAGGGAGCAGGTACAGAGAGCAGGATCAGAAGAACAGGGACCAAGTACACAGGGAGCAGGTACAGAGAGCAGGATCAGAAGAACAGGGACCAAGTACACAGGGAGCAGGTACAGAGAGCAGGATCAGAAGAACAGGGACCAAGTACACAGGGAGCAGGTACAGAGAGCAGGATCAGAAGAACAGGGACCAAGTACACAGGGAGCAGGTACAGAGAGCAGGATCAGAAGAACAGGGACCAAGTACACAGGGAGCAGGTACAGAGAGCAGGATCAGAAGAACAGGGACCAAGTACACAGGGAGCAGGTACAGAGAGCAGGATCAGAAGAACAGGGACCAAGTACACAGGGAGCAGGTACAGAGAGCAGGATCAGAAGAACAGGGACCAAGTACACAGGGAGCAGGTACAGAGAGCAGGATCAGAAGAACAGGGACCAAGTACACAGGGAGCAGGTACAGAGAGCAGGATCAGAAGAACAGGGACCAAGTACACAGGGAGCAGGTACAGAGAGCAGGATCAGAAGAACAGGGACCAAGTACACAGGGAGCAGGTACAGAGAGCAGGATCAGAAGAACAGGGACCAAGTACACAGGGAGCAGGTACAGAGAGCAGGATCAGAAGAACAGGGACCAAGTACACAGGGAGCAGGTACAGAGAGCAGGATCAGAAGAACAGGGACCAAGTACACAGGGAGCAGGTACAGAGAGCAGGATCAGAAGAACAGGGACCAAGTACACAGGGAGCAGGTACAGAGAGCAGGATCAGAAGAACAGGGACCAAGTACACAGGGAGCAGGTACAGAGAGCAGGATCAGAAGAACAGGGACCAAGTACACAGGGAGCAGGTACAGAGAGCAGGATCAGAAGAACAGGGACCAAGTACACAGGGAGCAGGTACAGAGAGCAGGATCAGAAGAACAGGGACCAAGTACACAGGGAGCAGGTACAGAGAGCAGGATCAGAAGAACAGGGACCAAGTACACAGGGAGCAGGTACAGAGAGCAGGATCAGAAGAACAGGGACCAAGTACACAGGGAGCAGGTACAGAGAGCAGGATCAGAAGAACAGGGACCAAGTACACAGGGAGCAGGTACAGAGAGCAGGATCAGAAGAACAGGGACCAAGTACACAGGGAGCAGGTACAGAGAGCAGGATCAGAAGAACAGGGACCAAGTACACAGGGAGCAGGTACAGAGAGCAGGATCAGAAGAACAGGGACCAAGTACACAGGGAGCAGGTACAGAGAGCAGGATCAGAAGAACAGGGACCAAGTACACAGGGAGCAGGTACAGAGAGCAGGATCAGAAGAACAGGGACCAAGTACACAGGGAGCAGGTACAGAGAGCAGGATCAGAAGAACAGGGACCAAGTACACAGGGAGCAGGTACAGAGAGCAGGATCAGAAGAACAGGGACCAAGTACACAGGGAGCAGGTACAGAGAGCAGGATCAGAAGAACAGGGACCAAGTACACAGGGAGCAGGTACAGAGAGCGGGATCAGAAGAACAGGGACCAAGTACACAGGGAGCAGGTACAGAGAGCGGGATCAGAAGAACAGGGACCAAGTACACAGGGAGCAGGTACAGAGAGCGGGATCAGAAGAACAGGGACCAAGTACACAGGGAGCAGGTACAGAGAGCAGGATCAGAAGAACAGGGACCAAGTACACAGGGAGCAGGTACAGAGAGCAGGATCAGAAGAACAGGGAACAGGTACCGACAGCAGGATCAGAAGAACAGGGGCCAAGTACACAGAAAGCAGGTAGAGACAACAGGATCAGAAGAACAGGGACCAAATATGCAGGGGGCATGTGCAGACAGCAGGATCAGAAGAACAGGGACCAAGTACACAGGGAGCAGGATCAGAAGAACAGAGACCAAATAAGCAGGGGACAGGTACAGCCAACAGGATCAGAAGAACAGGGACCAAGCACACAGGGAGCAGGTACAGGCAGCGAGGTCAGGATAACAGGTACAAATAGCAGGGAATATGAGAAAATAACAGAGAACATACAAACGCTGAGGCACTAGGAGATTCTTGAGAAGGAGATAAATACCCACCAGGTAAGGATTAATATCTGGGACCTGTTGACTGCTGGGAGGCACCTGCTGGTGGACACTGGAACTGCACTAAATGGGTCCATGTACCACAGTGCCACCAGCAGGTGTTCTGGCTTTTAACAGCTATACACATCTTAGATGTTGTTTGCAGAGCACAAAAAAATAGACATCAGATGGGATCCTTTTTACCAGCAAGTGCCTTAGTGTAACACTTCATATGACCCTCATTGTAGTGTGAACAAGGCCTATCCATAGAGAGAATGGAACAAATGAAGAATTACACAAAATGTTAACATATAAAAGTCTTTATTGAGTTTTTACATCCTGACATCAAAGCAACAGAAGGGTGTGTGTCACATGATGTGATTGACGGGCCCCCTTTTTCATTTCATCAGAAGCAGTCACTGCTGAGATATATAAAATGTAGAAGAAATGTAAAGCCGAATACCATTCATAGATCAGTATAGAAAAAGTTTGCAGAGTTTCTCAGAAGTGAAGTGAAGAAATGTTGGAGATAATATTATGTGACATACAATAGACTTCCTGTCCAGTAACCCCATTGGGTAATGCTGCTAGCTGCTATGTTTACCCCTCCTGTAGGGTGATGTCAGATGGGTGATAATGTGATTGGCTGGTCAGTAAGGACGGGGTCATCTAATCATAAAGCAACAATAGGCAAGTAAAGAACCTCATTACCTAGAGACTAAAATCACTGATAACCCAGAACAATAGTCTACACAGCAGAACAATGCAACACAGACACTCTGTTCTAGGAAAACAGCCAGAAACACAGTTGAACAACCCTGCCAGACAGTATAGCCAGTTCCTGGAGCTCTACTGCAGCTTTTCAGTGACAAGGTCCCTATCTCTGCTTTTTGCTCCCATGTTTCAAGAGATTGTCTGAGGCTCTGGACATGCTACAGAAGACTGTAAGGCAGAGGCGTCACAAAGGGGGGGTGATAACATCAGAGAGGGTAAAATTGTAGAAATGTCACCAGCACACCAATCCTTTTAAGATAGCAAAAGCTTCATTTATAAATGAAGCTTTTGCTATCAATAAAGGATCGGTGTGTTGGTGACATTTCTACAATTTTGCCGACATTCGCGGCGCCATCCGCGGTCACTGCGAGCACCCCCCACTACAAGGGACATATCGGTAAGGAGTGCGACAAGGATAGTACTTAACATCAGAGAACATCACGTGTATATGTAATGACATGCACACACATAATGATGTGCACATCGGGTGACACCCGGCGGCCGCACCTGGTGACACCCGGTTTCGTGCCGCTGCTGCTGTAAGGGGTTAGAAACATGCTACAGGAGACTATTAGTATTTACAGACACGTTACAGGAGGCTGTTAGAGGTTATGGGCATTCTACAGGAGACTGCAAGAAGTTACAAACATGCTACAGGACACTGTTACAAGTAAAAGGCATACTACTGGAGACTGATAGAGAATACATACATGGAACCGGAGACTGCTAGAAGGTACAAAACCATACAAAGTGCGTACAGACATGCTACCTCCAAAGGTTATAGAATGCTACAGGAGACTGCCAGAGACAGCATGCTAAAGGAGACTCCCTTAATCAATACCCATTATTGGTACTTTGTACACGTGTATTAGTGGCAGGCAACAGGATGTTAGCTGGCCACATATCGGTCGTGTTTCAACCTTCTACCAATCAGCAGTTCTGAATTTCCTTGCAATGTTTTTTATCACTTACTCAAGTACATAGCTGGGTAGAAAGCAGCTTTGTACAGGTGATGGCATTGAGACTCTGCTGTTACCTGTACATAGCTGCTGACAAAGGAAATATTGCATCTCCAAAACCTTCTCTGTGTACCTCTTTGTGTTACATTACGCAATATGTTATCATAATAAAGCAGGGACGTGCGGTCAGGTGAGGCAGAGCCTCAGCTAGTATTATGGAGGAAAAAGCTGTCAGCTTCAAGTCTGAAGCTGACAGCTTTTTCTCCATTCAGATCGGATTGTTACAGGAAAGCCTCCTCGCTGTGTAACCTGTCATGGACGGAGCGCTGCGTGTTAATTACAGGCAGCGCTGCATCCGGCTTTTGACAGGTATTTAGGTTACACAGCAGCGGGCTTCCCCATTGCTTGTGTAACCACACTAGTGAGGCAAGAGCTGTCACAGCCTCTACTCCGTGTTAGAGGCGTGAGCCCTGTCGATGGCTTGGGCCAATGGCCTCACCCGGAACCAAAAGTACCGCACGTCACTGTTATAAAGCACAGCTAGTCCTGCTTTCTTTATTGGTTTGTTCCTTTCTCATTGGATGAATATTCCATCTGCCCATACTCTATGCCCTCTCTTTAGCACTACCCACCTGTGGGTGAACTTCTCACATCTCACGATTCCCCCCAAATATCTTTACACCACCCTTCCATACACCAAGTGCAGCATGAAGGGGTTCAGAGAAGGTGGTGGTGAAGGTGTGGAGGTGTCGCATCGGGTGACACAGATCATAAAAGGAGATTTGCCCCATCTCATAATCCAGATATATCCTGACTCTGTCACTGCAGACATCGTCAGGTAGCTGGATCTTTTTACTGTCATGTATCACCACATACTGGTCGTTAACCCTGTACAGACCCCAGGACTTGTCATTGCTCCCAATATGTGACTTTTCTCCTGTCCTGTCCATACTGGGGTAACACACCCCAACTCTCCAGCTCTCTGAACCCCCAACATCCAACTCCCAATAGTACTGCTCTGAGGAGAAACTCAGACAACTTATCACCTGAGGGTAAGACTGAAACCTCTCTGGTGTTCCTGGGCGATTGTAGCTCCTCTCTGTCCTGGATATAGATTTTCTGTCTTCTGATATATATAGCTTATTACTAGCTGTGTTTACATCTAGTAATATGTCTGAAGCTTTCTCTACATAGACTCCTCCGTGTACCCCTGTTATTATATCAAATAAACCTGTGTGTAATGCGTGTAAGATCCCATCCATTTCCAGGTCCCCTCCACCATGGAGGAGCTTATCATGTCCATGGTTGTCCTCATTATCTTCCCCCTTAGTATTAGAGAAACCAGCTAGGTCTGATTCTTGTAGGACAGTCAGTGGGTCCGTCTTGGTACACAACTCCTCGATGTGATGCATCTTCCTGGACAGCTCGTCCTTCTTTACCTCCAGTTGCTGGATGAGATCGGAGATTGAGAATGAAAGTTGCTTTTCCTGCTTTGATAACTCACTCAACACTCTCTTCTCCAGCTCTTCCAGGTGTCTCCTGATGTCTGTAAACAAGGCAGTGAGTGACTCTCTTTCAGTAGCAGCTTTCTCTTTTACTTGTCCGCCATGTTTCTGCAGACTATGAACTCTTTCCTGGGTCTCCTCTCTCTCTGTCATCAGTTTCTGTAGAACATTTCTCAGCTTTTTCTTCTTCTGCTCAGAGGCCTCATCCAGTGACTCCATCTGATGTCCTCTGTGTTCTCCAATCAGACAGCAGGACACACAGATACAGGCAGAGTCCTCAGTGCAGTAGTACTCCAGGATCTTCTTATGGATGGAGCATTTCCTCTGTTCCAGGGACATGGTGGGGTCAGATAGCACATGTTCTGGTGACCTTTTGTGGACGCTCAGATGTTTATCACACAAAGAAACTTCGCAATGCAGGCAGGATTTAACAGCAGCTACAGGAGCGTCCACACAGTGAGAACAAAAGATTCGGCTCTCCTCCTGATCTGGCTGAGTAGACAGGAAATTTTCCACGATGTTCCGTAGAGTTATATTCCTATGCAGTGCAGGCCGATCCCCAAAGTCTTCTCTGCATTCCGGACAGGAATAACCTCCAGATCCCTCCTGTGTATTCAGCACACAATCAATACAGACCTGGCAGTAGTTGTGCCCACATTTCAGCATAACAGGATCAGTGTAAATGTTCAGACAGATGGAACATTCCAGCTCCTTTCTCAGACCAGCAGAAGCCATTCCTTACGGCAGGAGAGGGAGGAATGAAACTGAAAGTCTTGGCGCCCAGAATGCAGAGGGTGTTTCCTACGTTCATGGGCTGGACTAAGGCTGTGATGGGGGCTGCATTCAGAGGATCAGCTATTGAGGACACAGAGAATACGGTGTATCACAAAGACATACGTGGCTGATAATTTGGGTAAAATGTATTTAATAAACTGTGAAACGTTTCCTTTTGTTGTATCATTTACACATTTCATGCACAAAGAATGAATACAACGTATCGTTATGTTTATTTACTGCTAAATCTCATTTTAGTAAAGAAGATCATAGACCTCCGAAGGAAGGAGACATGTGGTCAGGATCTCATCACCCTAGGGCAGTGATGGCTTAACATTTTTCAACCTGAGTGCCCAAACTGCAGCACAAAATCAATTTATTCATCTCAAAGTGCCAACACTGAAAATACGTATTGGTACTGTGTTTTAGTTTGGGCGCTGGGCTTTAAAAAAACAAACATTTAAAATAGGGATACACACATACTGCAACATTTGTACACTCACAGATACAAACATACATTCATAAAACACATATCACACACATCAATACACACTCATAAAAACACACACACCATGAAACACACAATCACACACTCATAAAAAACACACACATTACAGGATTGCCACCTGTACGGTTTTGACTTGGACAGTCCGGGTTTGGGAGTCCTATATGTATTGTGTCCGGTTGTCAGGCCAACACTTACTTGCCAAGCTTCCTGAATATTTATGCTGTCGGCTGTGTCCTGATTCGAATCCCTCGCAGCATAAACCTCCCTATTAGCATCTCAGTTCCTCTGCCCTGTGATATTGTAATGCGTGCTGGGAGGCTGTGTGTGCAGTGAAGCTCGGATCTCCCCCCCATAGTTGCAGAATGTTAGTGATGTCTCCTGGGCCATTAGCATTGAATTGCCTCTGAATGACCACTTGCTGTGAATATTTCAGGCTGGTCTTGTCTCCCTCAGCTGACCCCCGCCATGCTCGTTATTGGCAAATTCCTGATCAGAGATGCAGGAAAACAGACCCCAGGTAAGAGGTGTGGCTGGGTGAGGTTACCATGGCAACGGCTGTGCTGGTGGGGCTCTGGCGACCAGAGTCAGGGGTCATTTTCTAAGGCATGACTCATTAAAGAACTCATACAAAAACGTACCTTTGCAGTGGGACTAGTGCCCATACTGCAGGGGTTAAGGGTCCATTCACACTGCGTTAATCATACATTAGTGTACACTTGGTACATGCTATCGCACAATTCACCTAGTGTGTGGTACCATGTGCTTGGTGTGTTGCACTGCAATTCATTTCAATGGCACCCCAACCCAGCAAGCATGCGCTGCAATGCAGCAGGTGGTACCACAATACCATGCATGAAAAAAGTAGGGCATGACAGACTACTTCTTTCTCAGCGTGCTGCACTGCAACTATTGTCTCCCCTCGCTATCTCTCCTGGCTGTCTCCCCTCGCTATCTCTCCTGGCTGTCTCTCCTTGCTATCTCTCCTGGCTGTCTCCCCTCGCTATCTCTCCTGGCTGTCTCGCCTCACTCATCCCCCTGGCTGTCTCTCCTCGCTATCTCTCCTGGCTGTCTCTCCTTGGTTTCTCTCCTGGCTGTCTCCCCTCGCTATCTCTCCTGGCTGTCTCTCCTCGCTATCTCTCCTCGCTGTCTCCCCTCGCTATCTCTCCTGGCTGTCTCTCCTCACTCATCCTCCTGGCTGTCTCTCCTCGCTATCTCTCCTGGCTGTCTCTCCTTGGTTTCTCTCCTGGCTGTCTCCCCTCGCTATCTCTCCTGGCTGTCTCCCCTCGCTATCTCTCCTGGCTGTCTCCCCTCGCTATCTCTCCTGGCTGTCTCCCCTCGCTATCTCTCCTGGCTGTCTCCCCTCGCTATCTCTCCTGGCTGTCTCCCCTCGCTATCTCTCCTGGCTGTCTCCCCTCGCTATCTCTCCTGGCTGTCTCTCCTTGCTATCTCTCCTGGCTGTCTCCCCTCGCTATCTCTCCTGGCTGTCTCCCCTCGCTATCTCTCCTGGCTGTCTCCCCTCGCTATCTCTCCTGGCTGTCTCCCCTCGCTATCTCTCCTCGCTGTCTCCCCTCGCTATCTCTCCTGGCTGTCTCCCCTCGCTATCTCTCCTGGCTGTCTCCCCTCGCTATCTCTCCTGGCTGTCTCCCCTCGCTATCTCTCCTGGCTGTCTCCCCTCGCTATCTCTCCTGGCTGTCTCCCCTCGCTATCTCTCCTGGCTGTCTCCCCTCGCTATCTCTCCTGGCTGTCTCCCCTCGCTATCTCTCCTGGCTGTCTCCCCTCGCTATCTCTCCTGGCTGTCTCCCCTCGCTATCTCTCCTGGCTGTCTCCCCTCGCTATCTCTCCTGGCTGTCTCCCCTCGCTATCTCTCCTGGCTGTCTCCCCTCGCTATCTCTCCTGGCTGTCTCCCCTCGCTATCTCTCCTGGCTGTCTCCCCTCGCTATCTCTCCTGGCTGTCTCCCCTCGCTATCTCTCCTGGCTGTCTCCCCTCGCTATCTCTCCTGGCTGTCTCCCCTCGCTATCTCTCCTGGCTGTCTCCCCTCGCTATCTCTCCTGGCTGTCTCCCCTCGCTATCTCTCCTGGCTGTCTCCCCTCGCTATCTCTCCTGGCTGTCTCCCCTCGCTATCTCTCCTGGCTGTCTCCCCTCGCTATCTCTCCTGGCTGTCTCCCCTCGCTATCTCTCCTGGCTGTCTCCCCTCGCTATCTCTCCTGGCTGTCTCCCCTCGCTATCTCTCCTGGCTGTCTCCCCTCGCTATCTCTCCTGGCTGTCTCCCCTCGCTATCTCTCCTGGCTGTCTCCCCTCGCTATCTCTCCTGGCTGTCTCCCCTCGCTATCTCTCCTGGCTGTCTCTCCTCGCTATCTCTCCTCGCTGTCTCCCCTCGCTATCTCTCCTGGCTGTCTCTCCTCACTCATCCTCCTGGCTGTCTCTCCTCGCTATCTCTCCTGGCTGTCTCTCCTTGGTTTCTCTCCTGGCTGTCTCCCCTCGCTATCTCTCCTCACTGTCTCCCCTCGCTATCTCTCCTGGCTGTCTCACCTCGCTATCTCTCCTGGCTGTCTCTCCTTGGTATCTCTCCTGGCTGTCTCCCCTCGCTATCTCTGCTCGCTGTCTCCCCTCACTCTCTCCTGTATAATCTCTTAGCTTGAAGAAGAGGTGGCAATCCTACATATCGCACACACTCAATAAAACACAGGCAACAATTAACAATAATTTAAAATGAATAATAATTTAAAAAATTGCCCCTCTCCTGCTTACCAGTTTTGCAGGGAGGGGGCTACATCCCTGGGGTCCAGTGGTGGATCAGTGTGATCTCTGGCTGATACAGACTATATTAATCACTCCTTCCTGTGAGAGGCGGCACCACGAGGGAGCGATCAGTATGATCTGCATCAGCAAGAGATGCAGATCATACTGATTCTCCACTGGACCACCATGGCATGATTTTCATTTATAATATTGCCACTTCAGCAATATATTAAATAGGATCTGGGCACCTTACAGATTTAAAGATGGCCGCCGCCATTTGTGGCGGCCAACTTTAAAAACCTAATGTGACTTGGGGAACTGTGGGATTCCTGAGTCCGCGTGGAGCACCCCAGATGAGAACCCGGAGTGTGCGGGCCTTGGCAACCGGTACCTAGGCTCACGTGCCACAGGTTCGCCATCACTGTCCTAGGGCAGTCTTTCTCATCCAGGGTGCCTTCTGGCTGTGTCAGGAGTGCCTTCAAATTTTCATTAACGGGGGCTCCATGTCATCTTTTTTTTTCCTGGGGTCCCCCCTTAAAATCTATAAGAGACCCCTGTCTAGGATAAGGGTTTGGTATTTATTTTTATTTTTTGGGGGGGGGCCCACATTGTTTTTTACATTTACATTTTTTAGAGTGAGGTGTCTTGAGATTTTACATGTTTTTAAAAGGTGTCATGACTGTAAAAAGATTGAGAGATGCTGCCCTCGGAGACTGTGATTGAACCCTTAGCCCACATTCACACCTGCGTGTTCCATGAACACATGCCGTATGTTCACCTGAACTTTGCTTGCCTGAGGAAGGAACCAGATAGGGTCCCGAAATGTTGCCATACGCTGTGTGACCACCTTGATCATGTCAATCAAGAAGATTTGACGCAAGGAATTTTAGAGTGCCAGTGTTTTTGCACTTTTTCTTATGTTCACAGGAACGAGCACCAAATGGGAAAGCGCTTGCAGTGCCAGGCAACCGTGCAACTTTTCCACGTGTTTGCGCATGTTCAAATGCACATGAACTCGCAGAAAAAAAATGCAGAACGTATGTCGCAACTTTGGCTGCATGCACTACTTTCCCACGCTCTGGACTGCATTGAAATCAATGGGGAAGCTCACCAAACACGGGAAACAAATGCCTGTGAACATGCAACACAAAGGTGTGAATCGGAGCTTACACTGAAAAAAGACACACGCCTCTTCTTTTTTATCCATTTTTTTTGCCAAACAAAATTAATATCCAAAAAGCTCGCCACCCCTGCACTCCCTGTTACAGGTATTTCTAAAAATTGACATGACAAGTCTCTTCTGCCAAAAAGGAGCTGCTTCAGTCACTTCTCTCTTGTGTGCACTGTATGGAGCATGCGCTGTGCAGTGCACTACCTCAGGTCCTTCTCAGCACGTATGCTGGGAATTGAGCCAGGTGTTGAGGACATTTTTAACTCCTGTGCGCATGCATGTCATCACAGTCAGCCCATTGATCAAACAGAACGTAAAGGGCCTGGAAGAAGCAGCAGAAGATATGATGGTGGCTGTGGACAGAGCGGCGACTGACAGCATAGATATGTCAGTGCTAGAGAGGAGCACACTTGCCAGGTAATTGTGCCATAATGTGCTCTGTATGCACATTATGACAAAAGTTGAACTTTTTCTTAGGAAACAACCCTTGACATGCGGGGGTATGGGGAACATGTGGCCCTGTGGGCCCAATATATTGATGGTGTGCTGCAGGGATGTGCGGTCAGGGGAGGCAGGGGAGGCAGAGCCTTACCTAGTATAATGCAGCACCTAGTATAATGCAGCAAAAAGCTGTCAGCTTCAAGTCTGCAGCTGACAGCTTTTTCCCCATTCAGATCGGCTTGTAACAGGTTACACAGCAGGGAAAGCCTCCTCAATGTGTAACCTGTCATGGACGGAGCGCTGCCTGTTAATTACAGGCGGCGCTGCATCCAGCTTTTGACAGGTAGTTAGGTTACACATTGAAGCTAGATAAAGGCATTAAAGGAAGATTGGAGGACATTGGTTCATGCCAGTACCATGAAAAGTGAAAGAGAAAACAATGAATCGTTCACTCAGGTCATTACCCCTTTTTGAGCACACTGGAACAAGTTATATTGTATACTACAATCAGGGCCGCCATTAGAGGGGTATGGCTGATACTCATGTAAGGGGCCCGGGCAGCCTGGGGGGCCCGTCCGGGACCCTTACATGAGTATTGGCCGACGATGACAGGCAAGGAGGCGGTCGGGTCCTAGCAGCGCGGGGCCCAGGGAATTGCCGATCCAGCGGCATCGGAGCAGGCTGGGGCCCCATCTGCGACGCTGCTCTACTGATCTCGGTGCGACCGGAAGTGACATCACGTCACTTCCAGCCAGTCTGGCGGCAGAGGAGGCCTGGTGAGCAGGTGGGATCAACAGGTATTTTTTGCCCATATTGAACAGATATAACAAAACACTTCCAGTGGTATATTCAACCATCTAAAAGGTAGCAAATAAGAGAAGCTCATTGTTAGGGGTTAGATACACTTTATTATCCCAATAATCTGATACCCCCCTCCCCGTCATGTCAAAAGCCTCTAGGTGGATTATTATATTCCGACCCTTTTCACATCTCGCCTTCTATCCGGATATCTTTACACATCCCTTCCATACCCCGAAAGCTGCATGGAGGGGCTCACTGAAGGTGGCGGTGAAGGTGTGGAGATGTCGGATCGGGTCACACATGGCCCAAAAGAAGATCTTCCCGGCCTCATAATCCAGATATATCCTGACTCTGTCACAGGAGATACTGTCCTGTAATTGGATCTCTTGACTGTCATGTATTGCCCAATACTGACCATGAAACCTGTACAGACCCCAAGACTTCTGATTATATCCAATCCATGACTGCACTCCTTTCCTGTCTATACTGGGGTAACACACCCCAAGTCTCCACCATTGTGACTCCCCCACATCCACCTCCCAGTAATGTCGCCCTAAGGAGAAACTCTGACTGCTTATCACCTGAGGATAAACCTTAAACCTCTGCGGTGTTTCTGGGCGATTCTGGTTTGGTAAGCAGGATGCGGTTTTCATGTCATCTGATATATGCAGTTTATTACAAGCCGTGTTTACATTCAGTGATAAGTTTGCAGGTTTGTCCATAGAGAAGCACACCTTTACCTCTGTTACTATATCAGAGAACCCTGTAAGTAATGTATGTGAGATCGCAGCCATGTCCAGGTCCTCTCCATCATGGAGGAGATTATCCTCTCTCTCCCTGTCCTCAAAACCTTCATCCTTGGTATCACACAAGTCACCTGTATCTGCTTCTTGTAGGACAGTCAATGGATCCGTCATGTTACACAGCTCCTCAATGTGACGCATCCTCCTGGACAGCTCGTCCTTCTTTATTTCTAGCTGATGGATCAGATCATTGAGTGACAACGAGACCCTCTCTGCCTGCCCGGAGATCTCCCTCAAGACTCTCCTCTCCTGGTCCTCCAGACGTCTCCTGAGGTCTCTAAACAGGACAGTGACTTTCTTAGTTTCACCATCTTTTTTCTCTTCTACCTTCCTCCTGCGTTCCTGTAGACTCCGGACTCTGCTCTCCATCGCATTTCTCTTTATATTCAGTTTCTGGAGATCATTTCTCAGTTTCTTCTTCTTCTTCTCGGAGACCTTGTCCAGGGACTCCGTCTGATGCCCTTGGTGTTTCCCAGTCATGCAGCAAGACACACAGATACAGACAGAGTCCTGAATGCAGAAATACTCCAGGATCTTCTTATGGATGGAGCATTTCCTGATTTGCAGGGAAGTGGTGGGGTCACATAAGACGTGTTCTGGCGCCTTGCTGTGGACTCTCAGGTGATTATCACACAGAGAAGCTTCACACAGCAGACAGGATCTAACAGCAGGTACGGCAGCATGAAAACAATACGTACAGAAGACCCCGGACTCGTACAGATCCGGCTGAGCGGACAGGAAACTCTCTACAATGTTACGTAGAAATATATTCCTCTGCAGTGCAGGCCGATCCTGAAACTCGTCTCTGCATTCCGGACATGAATACCCTCCAGACCTCTCCTGCGTATCCAGCACACGATCAATACACACCCGGCAGTAGTTATGTCCACATCTTAGCATTACAGGATCGGTGAAAATACTCAGACAGATGGAGCATTCCAGCTGCTCTCCTGCCGTAGCAGACGCCATTGCTGCCAGCAGGAAGTGAATTTGTCTGGCTTACAGAGCACAGTCCAAAGTGCTGTAATCTGAAGCAGCATTGAATGTCGGATCATGTGTTGCATGATGTGTGTTACAGCGCTTTGTATGTAACTATTGTTCTTTCATCATTTATATGAAATAAGCAACATACACCACATGGAAAACAATGTGTGTCTAATGTTCATTACATAAAGCTAAATGTGTTCAATACAGTAAACTCCCAGTTATCCGGCATCCACGGGGATTGATAGATTTCAGATAAATGTAGTTCCTGGTTGCTTGAGAGTTACTATTAAAAATAGGTCTAACTAATGCCATACCCCATACTATACCATACCATTGCAAACTCTGTATTCACTTCATATAAATACTGAAATGCAGTAATCAGAAGCAAATCAAGACAAATAGACACACAATCATTTCCAGGATAATACATGCTGCAGATCAACAGAACATTGAGTACACAGGGGATTTGGGTTTTTTCTGGTTAGATGAGAGTTCTGGTTAGTTGAATACCGGATAACAGAGAGTTTACTGTATCGAGAAGCATGTCTTCAGCTATATTCCCTGTGTGGTGTTTGTTATGTGTGATATTCTAGTCGTACAGTTACTGAAGTCGCAGATTTTTGTACCTTGTTATCTATTGATCAGTGAGGAAAATATGAACTTAAAGTGACATTAAAGGATATTTTTTCCCCCTCCCCCAATGTTAGTGTAAGGACTTACCTTAAATGATGCCTCTTAACCTCCAGTGCTGGTGCGGGTCTCCAATCCAGCGCTGACTCCTCTGTCCTCCTCTTCTCTGATGTCCCACAATGTCTGTGCGGGTGCACGCCGTCCATAGACTTACCTTGTGTCTCTCTTCGTCTCCCAGCCGAAAATCTGAACTGCGCATGCGCCCGCCCCATGATCCTTTGCGGCCGCCCGAGACTCTTCAGATGTTCGGACGGGAGCACGCGGCGAAGACACAGGTAAGTTTAAATCAGTTTCAAAAGGTGTTTGTTTTTGTTTTGTTTACGTTTTTGCATATATCTGCTGCTTGCTAACCATATATATATATATATACGCAAAAACACGTGAGGGTTTAATAACCCTTTATCTTAAAAAAGAGAAGAATTCCTCATGCTTGGCGGGACTTAGGTTTACTCTAATCGTGGAGGAAACAATCAGAGATTCCAACCAATATACAATATGCAACCAAAAGAGAGGAAAAGGAAAAAGGGAAGCTCTGGATACCATGTTGTCTCTTTATTAAACAATCAGACACCATGAAACAAAGGAGCCTTCATATAACAATCCCCCATAGTGATATATATTTATGTATTATTGGTATTTATATCGGACCCACAATTTTACACAGTGCACATTCACATCAGTCCCTGTCCTCAAGGAGCTATTGATCTAAGGTCCCTATCTCACATAGATATGAGGGCCACTATAAAGAGGAGCCAATTAACCTTCCAGCATGTTTTTGGAGTGCAGGAGAAAGCCGGAGTACCCGGAGGAAACGCAAGCACAGGGAGGACATGCAGACTATTGTAGATAGTGACCTGGCCGGGAGTCAAACCACAGACCCCAGTGCTACAAGGCAGAAGCTAACCACTACGCCACTGTGCTGCCCGTATTTAAAACCACAGCACACGGCACAGCCCTGCATTCGTCAGTCACACCTCTGTGATACGGTATGAAATGGAGAGCACTAAAAATAGGCTTGGAGATGTATGGACTTAAAGTGGAAAGAAAACACTTTGTCGGAGGATATAATCATAACAACATTATATCTGAAAATATACATCTAAGATGGTAATGGGTAGTCTATGTCTAGACACTGCCAGGAACTGAGGTGTGGTAACTGGTTCAAAACACTGACGCGTTTCATTTACTAATGCATGGCCTTTGTCATTGAGTTCTCTGCCTATGTGACAAGCTATATTAATGCAAGGCTCAGGAGCAATTTTCCTACATGCGTTGTGGAAAGTATGTGAGCTTCCAAGCTGGGAGTAGTATGGACGTAAAGTAGAAAGAAAACACCATGTCCGAGGCTATTATCCTACCAACAATGTATCTGCAACTATAGAGCTGAGATGGTAACGGGCAGTCTGTGTCCGCACACTGCCGGGGACCGAGGTGCAGAAGTAACAAAATTACCTTCTGCTTAAATACTTAATTTTAATTCAGAGAATTCCCTGCAGTACTTTTTTTTGACACTAGATGTCCTCAGTCTAATGGCTGGCATCATTCAACATTCAACCCACTTCTTCTGAGCCCAGGTAATGCTGGACATGTCCTTAGCCTGTGACTGGACAGTGAAAGGAGAAGCAGCACAGCGATGAGCTCATCTCTCTGTATTCTCCTGCTATCAGCATGCTTCTTATCAGCACATGATCTAATTGGCTCCTTATGTGCTTCTTCTTCTTCCCCCAGTCTGAGCTCTGCTGTACTGTGACTGCAAGAGGCTGACACCGAGTCACATTCAGGTACTTACACTGCTTGTATTTAAAAAATACTTTCCGGGATGTTTTAATGATTAAAGAGTTTAGCT